CAGTTGCTCTAATCATTTCTTCAAAAAATCATTTAATCTAATATCTCAAGTTTTTATCATTTCTGAAAAAAATTTCTGGCTCTAATTCAATATTATTTTATATTTTTTTGTTGGTCATAAAGGACCTTACTTGGAAATCCGATCTTTGATGCAAGGTAGGATTATTTTCTATTCAAATAAATAAATATTTTATCAAATTAATCAATATTAAAAAATATAATATAAATACCATCAATTTCATTATTTATTTTCCACATGATATTTTTTTATATGATCAACTATAGATTCTTTGAGATGATAACATTCTCTTCAGTGACATTAATTTTAACATTAGACAAACTAACTGTAGTAGATGAAGAAGATCCACAAGTTCCATCAACTAATTGGTGAGATGAAGTTTTAGTTGAAGATCTCTTGAGTAATAATTCACTGGATCTTTTTTATATTTTTATCAAAATAGTGGCTAAGTAAAGTTGTCACCCTTTTCTAAAAATTATATATATTTTTATTATTACTTGGGTGATGCAATTATTTATTATGAATAATAACATCAAATGCATTGCAATAGATATGATATGACAGTGGAGAAAAGGTATTCATATTCAAGGAAGATAAGTAATGTTTTATTTATTTTGGTCAGTGTTGTGACCAGAAACTCTTTTGGTTTCCCGAAACGTTTCGGAAAATGAACTTACACTAAGCAGAAAACTAAAACTAAACCCAAACCTAAGCATAAACTACTAACCTAAACTAGTTTCTGTTAGTTTCTGTTAGTTTCTGTTTCGGGTCTTCCCTAAACTCAGAGTTTCGGGTCACAACACTGATTTTGGTTCAACTAAGAGAAAAATACATAATGATTTTTATATATACTATATATTAAAAAATAATCATCAGGCAATTGCATGGAAATCTTTGATAAACTATTCTTTGGTCCCCTGATCTATTCTATTATTTGTCAACATTATGACTATTGCTAATATTGGTGTCTTCATATTCTATATCATCCTCTTTTTTCTTTTCTTGATTGCTTCTATCATTTTCTTTCTAGGCTTTGTTTTTTATTAGTAGAAATTTTTTTCAGAAATGATAAAAACTTGAGATATTAGATTAAATGATTTTTTGAAGAAATGATTAGAGCAACTG